TAAAAATGGAGAAGAACATAGTCATTAAGTTCTTTAAGTTTCTGAAAAGGAGACATTCATATAACCATAATGTTTTCTTTTTGCAGTTCCCTTTGTGTAGCATGACTTTTCTCAATTCCTATTTATTAACTGCTCCTTGCCCTTGAAGACCAGCTTGAATGCCATACACTCTAGGATGCCTTCTCTAACTCACTCAGAACTGAGTTAAGCAGACCTCCTTAAGTGCTCAGGCACTTGTCCTTCAATACAAAAACAGCATGTCCAGCTGAGAGTCTACCAGCCTTGAAATAATATTGCAGCACAATGTTCTTGAGTCTACATTTGGTAAGAATTGATAATATGGTAAGATACTTGAGTACTTGCTATATAAGAGGTCAAATGACTGATCATGTCCAAACTGGAAAAAAAGGGGGGGGGGATATTTACTGTCTGAGACAATGGTTTTAAACATTATGATGGACGAAAATCTAATAATACAGAATACTGGGCCCCTCCTGAGAGTATCTGAGTTAGTGGATTTAGATTGGGGCTGAGAATGTATATTCTTTTAAGGTTCAAGGTGATTTTCCCATATAGTTTGAAAACTATATGTCTTAGGTACAAGGAATTTAAAAGTTTCACATTTTGCTTCCAACTATATTCAATCCAATGAAGTCATTACTGAGAATCTAGGTTTCCTAAAATAGTCCTTCAGACACTTGATCTGAATTGTGGGGATTTTCTTCTTTAGGTAAGTCTATGTACCATCAGCCCACTATATTACTTACCTAAGAGGCACAAAAATAAGTTGACATATTTAATCAGTGTGTTGCTTCACAGGAGGCATTTTTGAAGAGATGCCTGAGTATGCTGTATTTTTAAATTTCAGTGAGTTTTCTTTGATGTTTAATGATTTGGTCTATTGTACAGAATATGATTAAAGAAATTCATTCCCTGATTGAACAAGTAATTTCATTTAAAGTTTTATCCAAGATCCAAGAGAAGAGGAGGGGTCATTGAATTTGTAGCTGAGAAAAACAGAGTTCTTTGTTCCCTTAGTAAGTTCTAGTTATGAGGTCAATTGTTGCATTGTTATAATGCTTCCACTTTGTTTTGGAATATGTCTTCATATACAGCATGATATTATGTATGTTGTTCTTAAGTCAAGATATAACCCATGTGCCAGTGGCATTTAATCAAGACTGCAGAATGCAGCCATGGCCTGGTAATATCCTAATCAAGGATGCACAACTAGGGGCAGTTGGAATGAGGAGGAGGAAAGAGAAGGCTCTCAGTATTTCAATCAGAATCCCCTACCAGAGGCAGTTAGTGCACTTGCTTCTGTTATTCACTAACAACTCAATTGATAAAAAAGAATTTTATTATTTAACATACTGAATGTTAGAGGTGAGTTTTTAGTTTTAAAAATGGTTACTAGTTGATTAGCATAATTAATAGTAGAAATAGGTTCACATTGGTGACAATACTTATTCAAGATATGTGGTTTAGCCAAAAATATTCTATAAGTGTTCTCCATTCTTGCATCAAAAGACAAAGCAGCCCAAAGACCTCGCACCCATTTTCCTTAGTGGTAATGTACTTGATAAATCACTGTGGGAACCCTGCATATGTCCAGGAACTCAGGAGGATTCTGTCATCCTCTGGAACTTGGCCTTCGCTTCACAGGAATGTTTCATGCAATATGGCAACAGGAGCACATAATAGCAAAGAAAATTAGAACTTCTTAAGCATCAGGAGTTGAATCAGCTTTGTTCATCTCTGGGGTGTGTGTGTGTGTGTGTGTGTGTGTGTGTGTGTGTTGGGGGGTGTAGGTGTGGGTAGGTGGAGGGGGGATCTTAAGAGGTCTGTTTTGTCCCACATGAGAGAAAGGGCAGAAATGGGGTCTGGCATTTCTTGCAATTTTTAAGACTCTTCTGAGAATCTCTGGTGGATATTACCAAGCCTAACAAAAAAAAATCTTTAAATGCTTTTTGGGGATGGGAAGTGACCACTGACTTAGATCCAACAATAGCACTTTCTGAGAGAAAGGTTGTGTTCCAGCACAGGACAGGGATAGAGAGATAAGACTGAAAGATGCCTTTGAAAACTGAGGGGTGACTTTGGTGATGACTGCAGTTCTAGACTCTCATTTTTGTTGATAGTATATTAGCTCAGTTAGCCCAAATACTCTGCTGAGAATATTGAAAGAGCTGGACATTTGTTTTTGAAATTTCACTTGAAAGGATCAGAGGGCCAACAAAATAGTAAAGAGTTGCCAAGCTAGAATCTGGGGGAGGACATAGATTTAGGAATGGGAGCCTGGGAATTAGCTTCATGCTCTGTTAATTTTATTTTACTCATAAAATTTGGAGCAGTTGAGACATTGAGAGGTTGGCTTTCAGTAGATCTCCTTGGATTTGGATCCCAAATGGCTATATCTGAGGAATAAAGATGAATCAAAAATAGGGCTACATTTTAGTTTGGACTAATCTGAATTGCTGCAATTGAATTATTGCAATCCTAGATAGTTAACTTCTTCACTTCTTACAATTCTTCTCTACACTAAGATCATAGTAACATAGGATCAAATTATTTCTACAAATGATGTTGCAGTATACCATCTGGCCACAATTAATGAGTAAATAACCAGGTTTAAGACTACGTAGTTGGAAACTGGCAGGAACATAATCATATACACAGTTTGTATCAATATTGGAGTTTGAATTAATATTAAAAAATGCCCATTTTTTTTGCAAAGAAATAGCAAAAAAGACTGAGATTTTTAGCAAAATTGAGGAACTCCTAAATGGACATTCTAAAACTGAAAATAAAATATTTGAAATTAAAATCTCAAAAAATACATTTAATAATATAAATACAGATAAAAAGAGAACTAATAACTCAGAAGAGAGTTCAGAAGAAACTACTGAGAAAGAGGCAGGGTAAAACACAAGGATAAAAAATACAGGTATAAAATTATCAGACATAAAGGATATAGTGAGAAGGCTTAACACATAATTTTTTACAGTCCCACAGAAAGAGAAAAAAGGAGAAAGTATACGTAATATTTGGCTTGATAATTACTGAGAACTTTTGTGTATGCTAATATTAATATGAGAAGCCTTAAAGTTCAAGCCTGGTAAATAGAAATAGTGTCACACCTGAGCACATTATAACAAAAGAATGGGAAACCAAAAGCAACAGAAAAATACTTAAAGCAGATAAAGAAGAAAAAAGTACTCAATGAAGCAACTAGTAGAGGACATAACTTCAAAATAGAAACAGTGGAAGCTAAAAGACAATGAAATGATAGCTTTAAAGCTTTTCAATAAAATTACTGTTACTCAAATGCAATAGTCAGCAAAAATATCCCTCAAGAATAAAGAATTAAATGAATGTCAATTATATGAAATTATAATGACATTTTCAGTTTATAGATACGATTATGGATGCCTATTATTGGTAGCATACAAGACACAAATGAGTTAAATAGACAAAAGTGTTCTCAGGATCTTTTATCATTGTGTGATTGATAATAGCACTAGTCTATATTAGACTTAAAACAGGGATGCATGCTTCAATCTCTGTAGCAATTCCCAGCAGTGAAAGACTGTATAAATCCTGAGGCAATTCAGGACAAAATGAAATAATAAATAATATACTTTTAAAAGAGTTGAAGAAAGAATAAGGAAACAAACACATCAGAAGGATGATAAAGAAGTACTTAATAGATGACAGATCTCATGCATGCACGCACACACACACACCACATTGATGACAATATCAAATGTAAATAATTAAACAATTCACTTGAAAAGTAAAGATTGTGCTACTAGATATAAAATGAGACCCATATGAATATTGCTTATAAGAGTGGTAATTAAAATAGAAAAATACGGAAAGTAAAATGATGAAAACTGTTGGATCCTGCAAATGCTAGCCAAAATAAAGTTGATTAGTATTATATAGGATTTTTAAGGAAAAAGAGATAGAAGAAATATATGAATGTTAGTAAAAATATCAATAATCCTGTAAAATAGGATTCTTTCACTATATATAAATATACTCTCACATATTCTGTTGGTTTGGTTCCTCTGGAGAATCCTGATAAACAACTCTAAGGTTTAGTTTTAGTTCTGAACAACTTGGCTTGTCCACCAAACTTTTACTGCACAAGTATTGAAACCTAACAGAAATGTGTCCTTGAACTTTTTCTTATATCCCTGTGATAGGCAGGATAATTTACTCCAAAGATATCCCTGTCCGAATCCCTTGAACCTATGAGTGTGTTACCTTACACGACAAAAGAGGCTTTTGTTGATAAAGTTCAATTGAGAATCTTGAGGCAGAGATTGTCCTGAATTATCCAGGAAGTCCCAATGTAATCATAAGGCCCTTTTAGAAGGGAGTCAGGGAACTCAGAGCCAAAGTAGGAGATGTGAAGATAGACCAGAGTCCTGAGTATGTCACTCTATTGCTGGAAGCCAAGGAATGCGGGCAACCTTTAAGGATGAAAGAAAGAACTGGCCCATCAACACTTTGGTTTTAGTTCTATAACCCCATTTTCAGACTTGGAGCTTCAGAACTTAAAGAACTTTAAGCCACCATGTTTGTGGTTATTGGTCACAACAGCAATATGTGTCTAAAGCAATTCTTTCCTGTTTTTTCTTATTCCTGAACTTTATTGTGTTCCAGACTCTTTACCAAGCCAACTCTACTAAATCCTACCTGGAGTTGAAGACCCAGGTCAGATAACCTCTTCTCCCTCAAACCCCTTGTTACACTTGGAAGTAATTCATGCCCCGCTAAAACTCTAGAGCACCCTGTGGTACTTCATGTTACTTGAGGCCTGGTGCCATACCTTTTAGCTGCTCCAGAGTTCCCAGTTCATGTACTTTACACATACATACTCATTGAATGAATAAAGAAAGTTATAAAATATTCTAAATTATTTCTGATAATACTGTATGAAATAGTTGATATTTTAGGTAAAAATAGAAAAAAAATAGGTTGTAACATACATTTGCAACTTCATGTGGTCCATTTAGTATCTGTTCCATATAATGATTTAGATCTCTGAATCTTTTGTGATCTGAATTTGTAAAAGGTAAGTGCCACCAATGAGGAAACCTGTTTTAAAAGAAAAAAGCATAACTCTATTAGTGCAAACATTGGCCTCTTCATTGTAGGATTGTTCACAAAGTTAACAGCTGCATGAGGTGAAGGTGCCAATGAAAACATTTGAAAAAGCCATAGTTCATGTGATTAATTCTGAGAGTTTCATTGACATGGCTGTGATCATTTGTCCCATTTTTACTGTCATTAATATTAATACTAAATTTAATTAAGTTTGACATTAAATTTATTTTTATGTTCTTTCTTACTATATTTATGGTGACCACCCATTTTGTTCCTTAAATACAAATGTTGGGGCTTCATAAATACTTTGTAAAGTTAATGATGTATATTTTTCAGAGAGTTCAGATAGTATTGTTTCTTCTGGGCTTACTGCAGACATTACTGCACTAACTAAATTAAACATTTTACCAAATGATATATGCTTCCATCTGATCTCTTTCTTTGCAAAAAAGTTACACTCTCCCCAAGAGTAAAACTTATAGATTTTCCTCCGCACAGTCCGAAGATTCATTTTGATGAACTGGACTTGATTAAGACCAGTTATCAAGTGGGTCAACCTTTTAATGGTGACATTTGGTAATGCATTTTGCTGTTTAAATATTTCTTTTTAGGAACTAACTAGCAGCTTCTCTGATTGCAATCTCTCTCACACACAAAAAGGTCTCTTTTGGTGGAGACCATAAACTGGCTACCATGATTCTGGGAGAAATGAACATAGGGGATAGTGAAGGCTTGTCAGCAAATGGAAATAGGTGACAGCTTCATGCCACCCCATTCACTGCTTCTTGATGAAATGACAGGGAAATGCAAAATGGATATGATTATGTATTTTAACAATTAGTATTTAATTATTTAAAAAGTGTTAAATATTATAATTTCTGACCTAGATTTATTTATCATTAAAATTAGTTCTAATACAAAATTAATCAAAAATATAACAATGTATGTGTACACATACATGCACATAAATATCATAACTATACACACATATATATATATACACATATATGGTAATTTTTTTCATAAATAAATTTGATAAATAGATGACTTAGCCTAGTTTTAAATATTAATTTACATATCTATATATGAATTTTCTTTATTGGTAGAATAAAACAGCTTGATATGAATTATATTCCATTGTTGATATTTTTATAGACATATGTATTAAAAATCTTATGCATAAAATATGTACCTAAAAATTGAGGAATTCTGTTGTGTAATGTCATTCAATTGTTTTAAATCTTACATGTCAATTGTAAGATAGAAATCAGTTATTGAAAATCACTTTTTAGGGTCTTTTGTCTGACAGTGTTATCATGTTCTCCCTCAATTTTGTTTAGCACAAAGACTAAAAACCACCTGACTTGCAAGTAGATATGTTACCTGGTTATTAGAGTAATTCATTTTCTACAAAACCAACACCAGGATTTTGATTCACTTTTTTGTCTGGTTCTTAGATATTTTTACACTCTGGGATGGTATACTAAAATAAGATTCTGGATGGTTGAGAGAAGAGTAGTGTTGAAAGTAGGACAGGAAAAGGAACTCTAACTTCCTCAAGCAGATTAAATTAAAGACATACATTAATTTTAAGGAATACTTCCAAGCCTGTGTATTCTTGGAAAGTACCCAGAAACACAAATAGATCCATTTGAAGACCACTGTTATAGCCTGTGTCTAATTAGAATTTTATTCTTCATGGCTCTGACTTTCTGATCATACTTTCCAGATCAGCTTCATATAACTCTCACAGAGCTTCTTGGTATATTTAGGAGTCAGAGGAAATCTTGCCCTCATCTGTCATTTATATGCATTGCTGTAAGCCTTCGCCATTTGGGAACATAAGCACACAAGTATTGTTCAGGGCACCACATAAGACTACATATCCCTCCTCTCCATGGATTGTTTAAATAGTTTGAATATCAATTTAGGTACATGTGCCAGGCAGAAGTGGTGAGCAAATGGAATCCTAAATAAAGCTGAAAGTTTAGAGGAGGCATATGGAGAGATTATTAGCATTTCTAAAGTTCTTCATGTTACTCTAAAACTTTGAAACCAAAGGACAGCCATTTAACAGGCGATAATTTATATTTTTAAAAGATTATTAATATAATATGGTGTCAACTATTGATTTTAAATTCAGTATTTGCAGTCAAAGTTTGAATTTTTTGCTCACGTCTCTTTGTTCTCAATTATTTGATCAAATTTCTTTTTTGATAATTTTTAAATCAGATGTTTGAAAGTTTTCAGAATGATGATACTTCCCTCTTAGAATCTTGAAAATACTCTCATTCCAATTTCTTGACTTCCTGATTCTTAAAGTACTCATGTTTTGAAGTCTCTGTGACATTTGTAAGCATAATTTTTCATGAATGTGGTTTACTCAGTTTTGACATTGCACAACCTCTCTCCATCCATCGACAACTTTGCTTATTTATATATATATTTATATTTTGGAAGGTGACTAAACTGTGAAAGCCAAGTAAAAACTTACATGTACAAAGTTTGTCAGATATATAGTGGACATTTAGTTGTTAAAGGACCATTTAAATATTTAACAAAAATCCCAGTGTTCATTGAGTTCTACAATCTAAATTTGGCCCATTGGAAATGACAAATTTTAGGTTTATAAGAACAGTAGTTATTTTCATTATATTTGTAGTTTGCTCATTTAAAAATATTCTTTCATTATAAGATGAATGGCTGAAGTGATTTCATGATTGCTTCAAAATGAACATAATAATCAATTAAGGGTAGATAATGCAAGTTTAATAATTAATAATTAAAAAGCTCATAGTTGTTAACAAATGTGAGTTATACTAACCCATATGAATATACTTAAATTTCTTTCAGGTACAGGAACTAATTCCGTAAGAGCTTTTTAATTTTTTACTATTAAAGAATAGATATATATACAATTTAGTTCTGCATTTTCAATTTAATTTTATTCTTTTAGAAAAGAACTGAGAAGATTAAATTTAAAAACAGGTAAATAAAGTAATTTTCCCAATAGTTGATGAAAAATAAAATAGGTTCTGATTTCTTCTGTCTTCAAAATCAATGGCTGGAAGCAAAGAAAAAATTGTAAACCTTGTTCTATTTTATGAGACAAAAGATTCTTTACAGTGAAAGAACAGACTCTTCTGGGAGAGACTCAATGGCATTGGAGTCAGAATACTGCGTTGCTCCCAAATAGGAAAGCATATAACCATAATTTTTGCTTTTGCTCAAGGACAAACACTGAAGGCAAAATGATGTGTGAGAATAGAGTCTTACTCTGGGAGAGTCAATGATGCAAATTGCTTCTGGAGTAGGCTGTTGAGTGTTGAAAACTGGTCAAATGATTTTTCTGTCAGGCTTGTTTCGTTGTTACTGTGGGTCACCTGGATCAGATACAGCTGTAGAAAAGGAGGTAAAAATTAAAAGATGGTAATATAACCTGTAGCATGTGCTAAAATCTGGTTTTGTGTAGACTAAACAAAGAAAGAATCTTTCTAAAAAAATTATCACAAAGGCCAAGAGAGGCAATTTGTAAAGGCAAATATTACCTATAAAATGCAATATATACAACTATCATAAGCTTATGTGCTGGGAAAAAACTGCCTAATTTCTTCAGTTCCTTTCTTATGGACACTTTAATTAGCTCTTGATTTATATTCTACTACAGGGCAGGAACTATTCTCTCTGATGGTTCTGTGTTAATAGCTTTGGCTGTTATTATTTTTCTTTAAAACATCCTCTTAATGGCACTTCTGCTCAAATTATAACTGATTTTCATTTGCATAGTAAAAAAATCCTGCTATAGGAAATAATGAGAGGAAGCCAAATGATATTAAGTCAAGATGGCAGACTTTAGACTTACATTATTGGGTTTCTTGCTGAACCCTAAAATTGTTGCTCTTTGAATCGATCTGGTTGTACTCAGCAAAAAAGATTCCTGGGGCAAAGTCTGTGGAGTAGATTTGGCAGGGCTGATGGCTGACATTTGTGCAAGTGTGTGGATCAAGTTATTCAGTTTAACAGGGAAACACTCCAGACTTTCCTTTATTTTCCTAGAGAAATGGAAAAGAAAAGACAGCAAGATTCCTCTGTATCAACTCATTTCATTTATCATTAGTTTCCTTGTGTGTGCTAGATGTGAGTTTGTGGAGGGGGATGCCAAAAACCACATATGTTTATTTGCAACCCAACTATTATGTTATTTTAATAAACTTCACATTAATATCTGGAGCTGTTAGCAAATATGAAGGAAATCTTCATGGTGAAATATATAACTGTAATTACAGTATTGTAGTTTGACCTTTTATTAGGTTTATTTTATGTTTTCAATTTTTAGGGATTATGTTTTAGGAGTTTTAATTCTAGTTTATTAATATTTAAAATAGTTACATAAACCCAGAAGTTAAGCCTACAAAATACTATATGTTCAAAAAAAAAATAGCAAGCTGGGTACGGTGGTGCATGTCTATAATCCCAGGAGGCTGAAGTAGGAGGAGCTCAAGTTTGAGGCCAGCCTGAGTAGAGTGCCCTGGGTTCAATCCCCAGTACCTCAAACAAAACCCCCAAACACCTAGTGTGTGTGTGTGTGTGTGTGTGTGTGTGTGTGTGTGTGTGTAGTTTGTTTGTTTAAATGGGAATTGAACCCAGAGGTGCTTTGCCACTGAGCTATATCCCCAGATTTTTTTTTAATATTTTATTTTGAGATAGGGTCTCTCTAAGTTTCTTAGAGCCTTGCTAAAATGCTAAGATTGGCCTTGAACATGCCATCATCCTGTCTCAGCCTCCCAAATTGCTGGGATCTCAGGCATGTACCACCATGCCCAGATATAGCCATATTCTTTACCCTATTCCTTGCATCCTCCTATATTTAAATGTCTTTGAAAATGATAGTTCAACTTTCATTATTTATTTTTTTTAATTTTATTTTTCTATGTTTGTGTTTATCTCCAAATTGTCTTAGAAAAAAAGGTAGCTTACAATAATAGTATATGAAACATACAAAATTTTCTTTTGGTTTCCATGCTATGATTTTCTTATCTGTTTACTTTTGGTTTTGGTGTCTCTGCTTTTTAAGTTTATTTTAAATTTTAATTTAAGAAGTTTTGTGTTCTAAAGGTATAATAATATCTTTATATAAATATGATTGCTGGGTATAGTGGCAATACTGAAGAGCTACTGGGGTGACTGAGGCAGGAGGATTGCAAGTTTAAGGTCAGCCTCCACAATTTAGTGAGACCATGTAAAATAAAATAAAAAGGGATAAGGTGTGGCTCAGTGGTAGAGAGCTTCTGGGTCCAATCCCCAGGAATATATATATTTTGCCTGCAGCCTTGTACTTTATTCTTTATCCCTTCTTTTTAAATTTTCTACTTTACTGTGAGCAATGTAAAAATTTCCTAATTTCTTTTATCTCCTTTCTTTCCTCTTCTCCAGTATCTGATTTGCAATATCATCATTTTAATCCTAGTTAATATGATAGAGCAAGCAGCATGCATATTTCATTTTGTTTGTGCTTTCTATCTCCTCTTTCCATTTTTTATACATAGCTCTTCTATCCATATTGCATAGCACATGCACAGCACACATAGGATACTGTATCTCTCTTATAGCCCCCATTTAATCATGAACTCTCCTCTAATTGTTAAGTCCTCATCTCTCCAGTCATGTTGATGATCTGAAACTCATCCTCATATAAATTCTTCAGGTATTGTTCAAAGCAGTTAGATTTTGATTTCTTATGTGTTGACAAGTGTTTGCCTGCAGCCTTTGTACTTAAAAATCAGTGTGGCTGGATACAACATTCTTAGGTCACATTTTCTTTTCTGGATTTCATAAACATAGTATTCTATTTTCTTCTGGAATAAAGGATTACTACCCAAACTCTGATGGCACAGTGAACTTTTTTCATGTATGAGTGAGCTGTTTTTTTTTTTTTTTTTTTTTTTCCGTCTAGCTACTTCTTTTTATTCAATATCCAGTAGATTTTCTGAAACATGTTTCTGTGTTGATTATTTTGGATAATTCTTCTGAATATGTAACATAACCTTTCAACTCTTCTCATTCCTCAAAAAATATTCCTTAGTTCTAGTGTTCCTAGTTATTAAAGTACTAAATATGCAATTTAGATTTTTTTTTTGGTTTGTTTTATTTTAGTACTGGGGGTTGGACCTAAGGGCACTTTAGTACTCAGCTACATCCCCAGTCTTTTAAAAATTTTTTTATGTTGAGTCAAGGTCTCATTAAGTTGCTGAGATTTTCAGCTAAGTTGTCCAGGCTGGCTGTGAGAACTTTTGATCCTCTTGCCTCAGCCTCCCAAGTTGCTGTGATTTTAGGTGTGCACCACTGCACTGGGTGCAATTGGGTTTTGATACAGTTGCAGAATACAATTTTGCTTTTGTTTTACAGGGACTTCTATTATATGTATTCTGGATCCTCATTACCTTTTTTCATTTCTTTATTAGAAGTCCTCTCTTTTCACCTTCTTTTTCTCTTTAAGCAATATGTTGTGTTTATATACCCTGTATTTCTTCCGGTTTATTGTGTTTAATATTATGTTTTCTTTTCTTTCCAATAGCTTTTTTTTTGTTCAATTACCTTATTTCTGTATTCTCCTAAATGTGGTCTATATTTTTTCTTCATATCTTTATCATTTTAGAAATCATTTGAGCACAATTGAAATCTAAGAATATAGTGTATTCCTTTGGTAAACATGATTTTCTGGAAAATTTTCATCTTAGGGATACTACATCATTTCTTATACAATTGTTATTAATTTTGTGTGTCATCGAACCATGATGTAGTTTGCTTGCTCATTTTAATATGAAATTAGTATTCTTGATTTTAGGAAGCAATACAGATTTTTATGGAGTCTGGGGCCTCTTTTCCTGTTGCTATCACATTATGATTTTAAAAATATGGTCTCATACTTTCTGAGATATGCCTCCAGGGTTCTCCTCCCTCCATCTTTTCTAGTCTTTTTTTTTCCCCCATTAGCACCTATTACTTCTTGTCCTTTCAGTTTGGATTATACTTTAGTAGTTTCTCTTTGTTGTGAGACCTTTTTCTATAAGGAAGCTCCAGTTACCTTTGAGAGTTCAGACTGCTCTAACTTTTATCTAATTTGCTCTAGAACCCTTGCCCTTCCCTGTGAGTTGGAATGTCAGAAAATTTCCACCCAGTTTCAGCTGGTCTTCTTATATTGGCCTGTTCAGCTCCCAGTGAGCACCAGTTGGCCAGCCTCCCTTTTCTTTCTCTTTCTTTCTTTTAGTTTCTGTTCTCAAGTCAGTGGATGACCTGCTGTCTTCTGTAGCTTCCTTCATACAGATGTTGAACCACACAGGTCTTTTAACTGTTAGAGGTTAACATCTGCTTGTATTTTAGGATTCTTGAGTATACCTTGTGACTTAAGTTTTATTTTGGCTATTGTCCAAGGTTTTGGATTTAGCTGACCTCATTGATCTGTCTGTTTTAAGATTTAAGGACATTGAAAGTTACTTTTTTATATAATTCAAGCAACACAGAAAAATATAAAGTAATATGTGATGATTCTTTTTCTTTCTTCCATGGGAGGAAAGTGCTCCTTCCCCAAAATAACCTGTGGAAAGCTTTGTTATTATTCCTTTTGCGTTTTCTCTATACATTAGTGCTGACACAGAGACATTCAATAGTACACACACACACACACACACACACACACACACACACACACCACTGTATTTACTCTTCTTCAGGCCAGGAGTAATCCCAACACTAGTATATTGGAGTACAGCAATGGTAAAAACAGAATTATTTTGTCCTTATATAGAATTTTTATAATGTGAAATTCAGGCAGTAATGAAATAATTAATAAAAATACAGGACTTGGGAAATTGTATATATTATAATTAAAATAAAATGGGAAATAGAGAGTGGGCCTAGGAGTGTAGGTACTAAAGTTGCAATTTTAAATTGGGTGGTCAGAGATAATTTCACTGAAAACATGAGTTCAAGGATTTGACAAAGACCTTATTTTGCCAAGAATGCGTGATAGGAGGATTTCTGATGTGACACAATCTAGCAGAAGCAACAGCTGGTCCAGAAGTTCAGAGATAGATGAATGACTGGAGTGTTAGCAAAGAGTACTAATGTGGCTGACTTGAAGTGAGGAGGGAAGGAAGGGAATCAGAGAAATAAAAGGGTCATGATTTTGTAAGGACTCCCATGTGTGACTTGGGAGTTGGAGAAAAATAACAATTGCATATGATGTTGTAATTTGATTTTCTGACTTAGTAACATTTTTTAAAGAAACATTTCATGATAACTGGTGGCTCTCAAATATTTGTTAGATGGATGAACACTTTTTCTAATTCGGAACATAGCATTGAATCAAACACTTTTAATAGCTACATAGGATGTCAAAACAATGATTAATTTAACTAGTTCTCTTTATTGCAATATATCCTTTCCTTACTGTTCAACTTTGTCCATTACCAAGGGTCTATATATGCATAGGCCTGCTTCTTTCCTTTTTATGTTGTGATATTTGTCTATTTGTCTATTTTGGTGTCAATAGTGCACTACCCTGAATAGCTGGAACCTTATGATACATCTTAAAATCCCAGAAGAACTTATTCTTTTACCCTGTTTCTATTCAGGTGATTTTTAACTATTCTAGGCCCTTTGACCTCCCAAGTGTATTTTAGATCAAGTTCTCCCATACATATCTAGCTTACAAATGTGATTCTGTTTAGTGAGATCTTATTTTAAATCTCTCCATATGATTTTAAAATTTTCTCTTGTAGGTCTTAGATATATTTCATTGGACTTATTTCTCAGTTGGGCATAATTTGGTATGACATATTGCAAATGCTATCTTTTCCTAAAAAATTTCAACTAATATTCGATAATATATAAGTAATTTTAACTTAATTCTAATGATAAATCTGTATATCCTTTTGAAATTTGAAAGCACACAATCATGTAACTGAAAATAATGACAGTGCTTTTTGTAACTCTTGCACTTCTAAGACCTACAGTTCAATGTTAAATGGAAACTGTAAATGTTAAATAGCAA